GCGATTCTTGTCTAATTAAATTTATTAGGACCTTAGTTGTAATTTTGACAGTACACTCCTTATCTCCAGAGATGCCACCAAGATAATCACCATGTAGAACAGGCCTTACAGAACCCTGTCCTCTTGGGGGAAAATCCTAAAAGAACAACTTGAGGTCATATCTCCAAAATGGATAAGTCCAGTCTGGGCAGAAGTAGAATATGTAAAAACTTTCTCGTTTAAATCATGACCTTCAAAGTAGGAAAATCTGTTTAAGCTTTGTCTTTACAGATGACATCTGATCTGATTTCCAGAAGATAATAAATGTTAATTTCAAAGTAAGTCACTTAAAACTTATTTCTAATGCAGACAAAGTTTGTCACATCGTTTGTCACATGGTTTCAGAGAGTCAAGTTGACAGAATCTGTGTTAGTGTGAGAGTAGGGTAAGAGAAAACATTTGTGGGACTATTCTGTTTATCTCAAGGTACTGCTCATAGAACAGTCATCAAAATAACCAATAAACTGGGCCATAAAAGAAGTTGCAATACATTTCAAAGGACTTGATAATATAGAATATATATACATATATCATAAAAATGTAATTCAACTAGAAAGTGATAACAAAAATATAATTTTCCAGTTATTTACAAATTAAGCAACCCAAGTCTAAATTATTCATGAACCTTTGGAAAAATAAATTTTCAATAGAAAGATAATGATAACATGTGTATATAAAATATATATTAAAGATATCTATCAACTATATATTTAAAAACTATGAAAAGTAGATGTAGCTCCAGGAATGTTTAGAGGGAAATGTATAGCTTTAACTGTAAGTATTAGAAAGCAAGAAATGTCATAAGAAATGACCTAAACTTCGATGTTAAGGAGCTAGCAAAGAACAAGCAAAACTAGCACAGAGAACATTGTACAATGGAAATAGTAAACAGAAGATAGAAATCACTGAAATAGAAATTAATCGAAAAAATAGAGAAAATATGTGAATCCAGGAATTGGTTCTTTGACAGTTTAATAAAATTGATAAGATCTTAGCAAAAATGACTAAGAAAAATAAGAGAAAAAAATTATCATAATCGAGAATGAAGACAGGGTCATCACTGCAGAGTCTACAGAACTTAAAAAGATAATAAAAGGATACAATAATTTATGACAGTATACTTGACAACTAAAAGAAAATGGACCACTGTTACGAAAGACATGACTTTCTACGTAAACACACTAAGAAAAGTAATTAAAAACTGGAATAATCTAACACTCAAGAAAATTAATTCTTTAAAATCCTTTCCTTCCCAAAACAAAATTCCATCTCCATATAGCTTTATCAATGAATTCTACATAAAAATTAATCAAGAAATAGTACCAACCCTACATAATTACTTTTAGAGATGGGAGGAAATTATTATACTTCCCAGCTCATCTCCTCGCTGCATATGCACCCAGCGTGATCCTTATACCACAATGAAACGAGGGCCTCACAAGAGAAATAATCAGATCAAGATCTCATATTATCCCAGACACAAAATTGTGGACACAATATTTAGTCTGATTCTTTTTAATGTTTCATTTTTGATTTTTTTCTTGCCGTTACAATTTATGAAGCAGATCTGGTGCAGTGTTTGGTCTGGGTCTAAATTATGTCCCACTACTGATGCAGGATCATCCTAGTATTTATCTCCCTGCACTGGCCCTGTGAACAATGAGGTCTTCCAGCTGCTGAGAATAGGCATTCTTCCTGGCCCAGTCTGAGCACCAAGCACTCCTCTCTCTAACCTGTGTGGGTAGATCTTTTCCCATCCTCATGTAGTTTCCTGAAGACTATGAATAATTGAGGGGGATCTCTCCAGATCTCCAGCATTGCCTCCCTCAATGTCTCTGAATCTCTCTTTCTCTGTCCCTCAGGTCTATGATCCACAGTGTTCCAAATCTAGCTGCCTTGTTGCCTTGGTCTCCTCAGACCCTCAGCTTCGTCTCCTCAACTCTGAGAGTCTACCAGGATCTTTTGAGGGATCCTTGTCTGTACCCACAACATGGAAAGTTTTCAAAGGTAATAAATCAGAAAAATCTTAGAGCTTCACTTGTTCATTTCTCATCACTCAGTGATCACTGTCAATCACTTTGACATCTAGTGTCTTGAAAATAATTATTTCATATTCTGTTTCTTTGTTTGCCTGGTTTTACAAAAACCTGTACATGAATATTTGTATCAGTTTTATCCATAATCTCAAATAGCTGGAAACAATCAAAATATCTCTTAATGGAGAAAAGGATAAATGTCATACAGTTTGGAATAATACTCAGCAATAAAATGAACTAGGAACAAATACAATATGCACAAATCTCAAATGCATGATACCAGTACCAAGATGCCAAATTTAAATGACTAGATATTGGACATGATCCTATGTATAGAAGACATAAAAAATTGCACCCAAAACTGTTAGAACAAAAAAACAAATTCAATAAATTTGCAGGATACAAAATATACATACAAAAATCAGCTGCATTTACATATACTAACAACGAATTATCTAAAAAATTATTTTAGTTTTGAAAATAATCCCATTTATGATGGCATCAAAAAGAATAAGTTACTTAGGTATTCATGAGAGGTAGTGGATATGTATATTAGCTTGATTGTGGTCTCCATTTTACAGCATATATGTATATAAAGTCACGACATTGTATACATTAAATATAGAAAATTTTGAATTCTCAATTATACCTCTATAAAGCTGGGAGAGAAAAAAAAGACTACATACTGTATGATTCAATTTATAGGACATTCTGGAAAAGACAAAACTATAGGAATGGAAATAGATCAGTGTTTTCCAAGACCTGAGGGTGAAGGGAAGAGGTGATACAAAGGGGCATGGGGAAATATTTTTGGTGATGAAACATTCTGCACATTAGTTGATATGGTGGCTACGTAACTATATGTATTTGCCAGTACTTGTATAACTTTGACTAAAAAAGAATGAATGATGTACTTTAAAGATTATAGCTTATGTAAAAATGGAAAACAAAAAGAATTTCTACATTAAAACATCAGACAATTGGAAAATGTATTAGAAGACAAGATTCTATTTACAATAGTACCAAAAGAACTCAAAAATACTAAATCTACAAAGAAACATACCAGATCTACATGAATATAAAAGACGTACCCCTGTTTATGGATAAGAACTCTCAATTCTCTAAAGATATAAACTCTTTCTAAATCAAGTCTTATTGAAAATACAAACTAAACTTCATTTTTACTAGACTAGCTTCTTGAAGTTTAATAATAAAACATAAATATGCAAGAATAGACAGTTCTGATAAGGAATAGTAATGAAGGAGTCCTAGGCTTATGAGGTATCAAGGCATATTTTAAATCAAATGTAATCACAGCACATGTTTGAAAGTCACATAAGTAAAGAAGAGATCGCTGTAAGTTAATAGAGGACTGATGTTTATCCAAACACATACCACATTTTAGAATACAAAGCTGGGATATCAAGTCATGAGGAAAAATACTTGTGCACCTATGAAAATGACCTTGAATGATTCCTGAAAAATAATTAAAATTTAATCCCTACTTACAGGGTTCAAAAATCTAAACATAAAATATAAAACAACAAAAAAACTTTAAAAATTAAATGTTGAAAAAATGTGGGATGTTTTGATAACACTGAAACAAGGAAATTCTTCCTAAACAAGGCATAAAAGCAAGAAAATATGAATATATTTAATTATAGAAATGTAAAAATATTTCCACATGGCCAAAAATACTTTGCACAGTATAGAAACAACAAAATCAAATAACAAGCTAGAAAATAACTCCACATACATGGAAAAGGAGATTATTTCCTTAGTATATAAATAAATTCTAAAAATTGATATGAAAAAATCAGCAATCAAATAAAACACATAAATCATTAATAGGCAGTTCATGTGAATACAAATCATTTTAAACATTTGAACAGATACCCAAATTCAATTCTATTTATTTGTAATTAAAATATACAAATGAAACACAATTTCCTTAAACAGACTGTTATATACCCAAAATGTTTAACAAGCACTGGTTTTTGAGAATTCAGGCAAACAGATATTTTCCAGAATGAAGAGGGTAGTGAGTCTGGTACAAGCTCATGAATGGCATTTTGTCAAAAACTATGCACATCAACATGATAAATAAATAAACCAATTGACTCAACTATTCCACCACTGGGAAATCATACTTAGAATATTACAAAAATACTTCATTGAAGAACTGTTTGTCATAGAGAAAGACTGAGGAAAACATGAAGAGGACTGGATACATCAGTGTCAGTGTATCTTCATCAAGAAGTTAAGCAATATGAAGAGACTGAGAATGACTTAGATCTATAGACTGGTATATGAAGATGTTCTGGAAATGGTAGATACTGCTTTGGGATGATTAAGAGATTTATTCTACATAGTCCCTTTTGTATCAATTCTATTTTAATATTTATTATTATTCATTATTTACAGCTTCCTATTTAAACAGTAAAATATTCTACTAAAAATAGCATATGCAAAGCATATGAAATTGAATAAAGAGGAAAGTCTATACGGTATTAAGTATTTTAACTAATATAAGTAGATGAAGATAAAAGACAAGAATCTGACTAACAACAAAAATAAGAATAAGAAAGTAATAAAAGTAAACACAGAAATTAAGTAAAAAATGGTGTATGTCTATAAAATTCATTGCATAATATTTACTGACTCTCAACTGTAAATACATTCTACCCGTCCAGATGCAATGTTAAACCAGACACTATGGAGTTTACATTTTAGCAGGGAAACTGTTATCAAAAGCACAAATATATAGTTCATTCTTTAATTAGAATTATCATAAATCTCTTGAGAAGAGGACATTTTGCATCAGATTTATGAAGACTGTTACATTCCAAGGAGATTGGCCCTAATGCTAAATTTATTGCTTACTCACGGATGAAGCACTTATTTA